CACGAGCCAACGGAAGTGCCAGGGCACAAGTTTTCCACCACCTCGTGGTAAACACATGAAACAAGCTATCAACTACAGCAACTTGTGTTCTTCAATTTAAACGGAGACCAGACGACTGCTGGGACGAAATGTTTCCAGAGTTCGACTAACAGAAGTCTCCGCCACTACCCACATCCCCCTTAGGTCGCTGATTCTCTATTTCACTATCTGTTCTTTACATGACACACCCAAAGAACAATTACTAGAAGCAGTCCGCTGATGTGCGATTCCTGCCAAATGATTGAGAATACTGATTCTCCGAGTCCGTTAATGTTATTTATCTCTTCTTTTGTTTGTATAATATCCAAAACACAACTACCTGGCAGCCTTAGCACAGTGGGAACCACCCGCTCACAAGTGCAAGAACCTTGATGTTTAATGGCCGAAGCCTGAAGTCCTGTGACCTGAGTTGACCTGACACTATACTCGTACAAGGTGGATCAACTCACCTTTGAGCCACCGCAGGGTTAACGTAAACCAAATCGCAAATGAGTGACGCGTAGCCAAAATTGATACGAACCCCAAAACAATACACGATTGGTTCGTAGTGTTCTACGGTACTGGATTAGAAAAATCATTACAAAATGTACAACAAGACAAACCTCAAATATGCGGCCAAAAGCACTCAAGCAAACGAGAACCAAATATGATGTCCAAGATGAGCCAACAGGTCGATCACGTTCTCTATCCACGCCAAATTGAAATGTGGCGGGTATCGAGGCAACAGATAACCAACTGTTTGGGTGTTTGTGAGTGAGGATACGTCAATAAACAAGCAACGCAAGAACAGATTTAAGTCAAGTGTAATTGTTTTGGGAAGGATTTTCAAAACATCAACTTGGAATATGCTGTCAGCCTGACTACCGTGCCCAGAAAGGTCTTGCAGCGGGTTTTATACAGAGCATTTTTGTTGACATTGCAAATGCCTTAGCTCGGGTCCTCCACGCTCCCTTACTCTATAGACTCGAGTCATGCGACCTCGCTGGGAAATTCCTTGCGCTACCTCGTGATTTTCTCACGAACCGTAATTTCCCGATCCGCGTAATTTCGTCGCCCTCATGTGACTGTTCCATTTCTATTGGAGTCCTGCAAGACTCCGTCCTTGGCTTCCTTCTCTTCCTTATGTATATTTATGACCTGCCACACAGGAACGGAGTCAATATCACAATGTACACCGTTGATGTGACAATTTGGGGCACCTATCCTGTGGCTGTTAAATCAGCAATGGATGCAGTCAAAGACTAGTCTACGGCCCGGAACCTTCCAATAAACGTCGAAGAATGCGTTAGTATATCGTTTGGTATAGTCCCCGTAAATAGCTTCGGGGCTAACACTTCCACGACTATGGCGAGTGTTAAACACCACAAGGTTCTTGTTTTCTGGCTGACCAGGTCACTTTCGTTTTCTTACCACCAATAAAAAGTCAGTAGAGCCGCCTTCGGTGTTCTTAACTTCCTAAGATGTACATTTCCCAGAATAGATCGAGATGACTTTCAGCTTCTATATAGCATGTACGTCCAACCTTTATTGGAATACGGGAGTCAAATGGCTGACTCCCACTCGGTGGGCAACTGTACGACCCTCGAGCGTGTACAACGGAGGGCGACAAAACGTGTGCATGGCTTGTCCTCCACCCTTTACCCTACACGTTTTTCCATCTTAAATCTGTACCCCGTCAAAAACCGCCGGATAAGAGGTGACATCGTTCCATTGTACAACCTCTTCCAGTCCGGCAGCATCAGTGACTTCTAGGTGCGCACTAATATGGATAACCTTCGTGGGCATAGCATGATACTTGAAAAAACGTCGATTTCGACCTGCCGTGACACACTTCAGAGCGAGACCCTGAGCTCGCAAAGCAAACAAGTTATCGCTGGTTAAACCAGAAAACTTTGGTTGTTGTAGACATTTATTAAGGTACCGTGGCACAGAAAACATACCAGCACCAGCTAACGAGAGTTTGCGCTAAAGCACGAAAGCACGAGAACCAACGAGAGGAATAACGATCGAAAGAGAAAAGTGAAAGTTCTCTCGTGGAAGGATGTACCAGTTTTTGATCGTATAAGACAAAGGTCACATGGCGTTGGTACTGAAGTAAAAATGTGGACATACATTCAAGTTGTAGAGAAAAAATTGTGTCCGGCAAATGTCTGCTATTGTCCGGCTTTCACTGTACAATCGAGCACACTAGAAACTCTTCAATCCGCTTGCCCGTACACTAGTCCGTCAGTACTCTTTAACCCACAGATTCATTCCTCTTTGTAATAGCCTATCCCAAGAAGTAATTATGCCTCCACAAAATCCGCTTTCAAAAGGCATCTAGACCTGTATCTTGGTCTAATTCCTGAACGGTAAGATCTCCTTGGCCCATGGTGTTAGTCATGTTCCGTATTTTTTCCAGAACTTCCCGATTTGTCGCACTGCATGCAGATACTGCACCCCCTCCCCTATTCTTACCTCATTTCAGGTAACCTTCTTGTACCAATAGAACGCGGACTTAATCTAATTATCCAACATCCGCCGCAAAGGAGACTACTCTATCCCCGACTCACCGGGACGTAGAACCGGAAAATACCTTGGAAACCACTAAATTCCGGAACCATTGGTCCTAGCCTCACATATAGACTGGAGGTCTGAGGTGTGCACTCGGAAGTCATCAGAAGGAGACTACCTCAAATGGTTGTACGAAAATGCCCTGTGGCAACATGTTAAGGAAAGCATTACATTCAGGTCTGGTGTTTCTCCGTCGCTGTTAGATCTCGTGATCACTACGCAAAAGAATGACATCATGACGCTACAGTCGTACATACCTCGTGGTAAAAGCGACCACGTCATCATATCGATCAAAGGGAGCATGCGACAAGCTAGGGCACCATCCAAGCTGATAAGAAATTTCGGCTGTTTGGATCTAGGGAATCTCAGAACTAGGGCATCGGAGTTGTTTAGGGATGCTCCGGCGGGGGGTAGTGTGGAAGACCACTGGATGTTAATTAGGGAGGAACTCGTGGATCTTCAAAATGAATTTCCTTCCTTGAAATCCAGCCGATGCAACAATAAACCGTTATGGTGGAAAGCATCCATATCCAGGGCCATCAAACAACGAAGTAGGTACAGGAAGAGCTCTAGAGTTTCCGGAAACTAACCAGATTGGATTCGACGTAGAAGGTTTAGAAATGAGGCGGTTAGTCTATCACGAGATTCCAAAAGTAACGTGAGCTTCGCCTGGACCAATGCGCCAAAATCATACCTAAGAAATACTATAGCTACGTTCAGTCCAAGGGGCACTAAGAGATGGTAAAGGACCATTACAGGTGATCCAGTGGTCGTTATGGATGACCAGGGTAAGGCAGATACCTTGGCTGGCTATTTTGGTAGTGTACGCCGAACAGATGACGGTATGCCAAGAATCCTGGAGCGAGGATCCTCACCGCCAGAGATTCACCACCAGGAGATAGAAAGAGGTAGTGCGCCAGCATTTGAAGGGTCTAGACGTCCATAAGGTGGTTGGAGCGGATAAGATTCATCCAGCTATCATCAAGCCCGGAGCAGACATCCCACAGAACCGGCGTATAAGCTATATAAAGCATCACTAGACTGGGGCGTTCTACCGAGGGACTGAAATGTAGCAGCAGTGGTGGCAATACATAGGGGTGATACCGATCAGAGTTGGGTAACTACAGGCCAGTAAGTCTAACTAGTATTTTTTGTAAGGTGTTAGAAAAAATTGTTCGCACCCATGTATGCCAGCACTTAACGTAGCATTCTATGCTATGTCCAGTTCAACATGGTTTTCTCAAAAGTAGATCGTGTTTGACCAACCTACTGTGCTTCTTGGATGAAGTTACCAGAAGATTAGACGAGGGGCACAAGTTTGGTGTATGTTACCTCGACTTTAGCAAGGTGTTTGACTCGGTCAACCAACTACTGCTACTAATCAAAATAGAGACGTTTGGTATAAGGGGACAAATGCACCGATGGCTGAGGGACTTTGTCACCGACAGAACCTTCTACGTCAAGGTACGAGACAAGTGCTTCTGTACAGCACACGTCACAAGTGGTGTACCCCAGGACTCCGTGCTAGGTCCGTTGTTGTTCCTACTATTCGTAAATGACCTTGCTATGTTATTTGATCGCCCACCATTTTCTTCTCCGACGACGGCAAGGTGGTGGAATCAAAAGGAAGAGAGAACCTCAAAAGAGACGGCTGCTATCCTCAAATGGAGTTTGCCGCTGAATGCTGGTAAAAGTCAGTTGCTATCGAAGACCGGTGAATGCTTAACACTAATCCAGGGCCATGAGTTGTTTACGATAGATTCAGTAAGTAGGGCTCAGAACCTAGATATCATCGTGACTTCCGATTTCCGTGGGGTGGGGCAGTGCAAAGCAGCTGCAAAATAGCTCGCAGAGAACTCTTCAGACTGAGTTCAGCCCTGTCTTGCATAAAACTGGAGGTGTTCGTGCCCCTGTACAAAGCTATAGTTAGATCTCATCTTAAGTACTGCGTGCAGGCATGGTCATTCTTCTTCAAGAAAGTTGCCGCCTGCTTAGTTGGAGTTCAGAGGCTTGCAACGAGAATGGTTGAAGGTCAAAACGGGAAGTCGCATGATCAGAGACAACACGATCTGGGGCTCTTTTCTCTGGTTTGGAGAAGACTTCAGGGGGACTTCATAGAAACCTTCAAAATAATGAAGAGTTTATCAGGTATAGGCCCGGAGAACCTGTTTCAGGAAGACCTCGATTCAAGAACAAGGGTCACTGTAAGAAACTAAGAAAATATCGATCCAGGATAGCAGCAAGATCACGCTTCTTCGGTATTCGGGTGATAAATCTATGGAACCGACTGCCAGAAAAGCTAATAGAACTACCTTCGCTTCAAACCTTCAAACTAGCCATAGATCGAAGGAGGGCCAAAGTAGTTTCTGGGTTAAGCAGTGAATTAGCTCTCCCATTAGGCACCTATTGAGCGCTCACACACCTTAACGTCTCTCGCCGAGCAGGCGAGAGGAGTTGTCCTCTCCTTTCTTTTTAGCAGGAGAACTGACAGATTACTCGATACAGTGTTGGGTGCTGGACCTGTGCATACCACCGAAAAAACTCTGGACGCTCGATTGGCTGTGGCCATTTCTTGTCATTAAGGGTACTGTTTCGAAAATCACTGGAGGAAAAGGTGCTTCCGGGCGACTGGAAAACTGCAGTTGTGGTGGCGTTACACAAAGGTGTTAGTAGGTCTAACCCGCAGCACTACAGACCGGTTAGCTTAACTAGTATTCTATGCAAATGCACGGAAAAGCTAATCAGGACTCATGTCTGTACCCACCTTTTAGAGTATGCATTACTTAGCATGGCCCAGGATAGCTTTATGAAAAACAGGTCGTGCCTGACTAACCTCTTATGCTACCTAGACGAAGTCACAGAGAGGGTAGACGAAGGNGACGAAGGCAGATCAGTAGAAGTATGTTAGCTAGATTTCAGTAAGGTGTTCGATTCTGTAAGTCATCGATTGCTTCTATAGAAACTAAGATTTTTCGGAATCACGGTAGCAGTATATAAATAGATGGCAGCGTTCTTGACCAGTATGACACTCTGCGTCAGGGTAGGAGAAAAAAGTCACAAGTCCTACATGTCACTAGTGGCGTGCCACATGCGTCGGTGTTAGACCCGTTTCTACTTCTGCTGTTCCTAAAGGATCTAACAGTAATTACCAGCTTACCTTGTTTCATCTTCGCTGATGATATAACGGTGGTTGGATCAAGTGGAATATCACAATTGGAAGAGGATATTGCTAAGGTAGTCCAGTGGTCCCACACATGGGATCTTCCACTAAATGCAGCAAAGAGCCAGTTGCTCTCAAGAACCCAGGAACCATTGAAGGCTCTAGGTGACTGGAGGCAATGCGAAGTAGGCACTGTAACCAGAGCCATGGATCTAGGAGTCATAGTAACTGCAGATTACAGTTGGGGTACCCAATGTGAAGCTGCAGCACACACGGCAAGACGACAATTGTTTCGACTAAGACCAGCAGTTTCGTGTAGAAAAGCAGATGTTTTTATACCCATCGACAAAGCCATCGTAAGGCCTCACCTAGAATACTGTGCTCAGGCTTGGTCACCCTTCTACAAAAAGGACGCAGCCTGTCTGGATAGGGTTCAGAGATTGGCAACACGGATGCTTGAGGGTATGCGGCGTAAAACGTACAAAGAAAGGCTGTAGGCGCTTGGTTCTTTTTCGCTAGAAAAAAGGAGATTGCGCGGAGACCTCATCGAAGTATTTAAGATTGAGAAAAATTTGCTGGCTCCTCACCAGAGAACGCGTGGACATGAGCTCAAACTCATGAAACAGCGTTCTAAAATGAACTTACGAGCACATTTCTTTAAACATAGGGCAGTGGATAACTGAAATAAGCTACCGTCTGAACTGCAGCCAAACGTCCAAGCCTTTAAGAGAGCTCTGGACGCCAGATGGTTGGAGGTCTCCCCTGAAATAGAATGTTAAGTGCATTAATTGTTTTTGTGTGATATGGAACGCTTCATAATAAAAGTATCTCTTTCTCTCTGTTTGCAGATAGAAAAAGAAACCGATCAATCGCAGAG